TAATATGGAAGTTTTCACACACACTCTTCCCCCGCAAAGCACCTTCAGGGCTTTCATGATGCTGCATGAGCATGATGTTTAATGTTAACATTCCCCATGGGAGAGTCAGCATAATGCAATGTCACTTTCACTGATGAATATGTTGACTACAGCAGATATATCTAAGCAGCTGTAAATCACAAGTAAGTTGGGATAACAGCACTTGTCCTCCTTTCAAAAAAAGACAAGGGCTGGAAAAAAAGAAATTGCAAGGTGAGTCACCTTATCAGGCTTACTTTATTACAATAATTAATTTGTTTAGAAAGAAGCACGCCTGTGAGGTTCCAGGAATGGAGGGCGGATGACTCTGTTTACCTCATAGTGCATAGATAAATGCAAATGAACACGGGCTGTTCAAAACTCATTAGTAGAAACTCATTTCTAAAATGGCAACTTCTGACTAACTTGTAAATAATTATATTCTCTATTTTTAAACCATGTCATGTGTATGGAAAATTGCCAACAAAGACTGAAAGAATCTGATGATATACTGCCCAGCTTCTGTCTTCAGCCAGTGGGGTTTCTGCAGTGGGTACATGAAAAGATTGTGGAGCGCAACTAATTAAAAAAAAAAGAAAGAAATTATGATTTGATTTAAAAATGAAACATATCCTGTGATGGATGAATGTTCCTGTCACTCTGAGTAGTATGTAAAAGCAACATTTCACCAGACAGAGATGCTAAGACCACAGACAAAGACACTTTGTCTCTGACCTTTTCCCTCTTGTGATATCCTCTCCTTCCCTCTAAAAGAAAGCGTTGGATAAAATTCATACACAGTAAATGTATATATAGTACTCATCAATTCTACTCATCAATGATTACATGATGGACTAGAAGATAACACAGCACTTATACAATAATATACATTTGATTATCTATTTTTAAACTTCAAAATAAGGTTGTCATTTCAGTTTAATATAGCATGACTTAAATTCTCCCTTAAACCACTGAAAGGATGCTGTAGTGATGTGGTGATGTGGTGGTGTTGAAGGGGTACGTCAGTCATATCAGGATTTGACACTTCTGCTTTAAGAGATATGTTATGCTCCTTGTCAAGGTGTCTTAACGGTGACATACAGTACACCTCTCATATTTCCACACATTTGTGCTTTTGATCCGTGGCAAAAACACAACTCTGATTTTCAATTACAAATAAGAGGTTGCATTAGGCTAAGAAACACCGAGAGTAATGGACTTTGTCTGTTTCTCAGAAAAATGGACTTGTCCCCTGAGACCTTGGTTTCCATTATTAAACCTCTACCACATTGCCCAGCAAGGCTGTTTCCATTCCCTCTGACCAAAGCGAAATTACCTGCTCTTGAAGCTTAAGCATATAGAGAAACCACAGAGTCTGAACCTCCATTTGCTCTCTGCTGGGTCAGACTTTTTGTGTTATTTGGGAGTGCAAGAAAAAGAAAAACAACACATTCTGCAGGGAAGTTTACATTGAAGTCTGATGTCCTTATAGCTTAACTATCCTATGGGAATCTACAGCAGCATGAAAGCCAGTGAGTAATACATTCACTGGGCAATCTCACAGTATGCATCAAGTCCTGGATGATGAATTACCATACAAGGGCTCAAAAAATAAGAAATGAACGGCCCGGGATGAATGTTGTGTTGGAAATCCAAACACTTAGTATTCCACAGGGCTGACACAAAAGCTGTTCCCTTTATGATAACACAACCATCCACAATACTATCTCCAGTCTGACAGCAACTTATGCAGATGTGCGCAGCTCAGCAGTCCTCCGCCGAATTGAGCCCCCCCTTGAAAAGTGTTCAACAAGCAGGTCACATTGGACTGTCTGTTGTGGATGAAATGCTGAAACGCTGTCCTCCAAGAGGCTCTATGCATTATCACTCACCTGCATGGCCTAACAGCCTGTGATGGATAGGGCCTGATTGAACCTGTAGTCCCCTATCAAACCTATGTCATCTGGACAAAATAGGACTTCTGCTTTCTTCTAGGATAAGATTACTTTTTAACACCATTACTAAGCCAAGTTAGGAGTTTGCGTCCTCATGTCCTTCCAACAATAGTTCTTGTTAAATCCAAGCAAATGTGTAGCTATTGCATATGGATGTATAAAAAGAAGACAATTCAACACTGCAATGGCAAGTGTCAACCTCATCTGAAGGCAAGACGAGGCAGAGAGGTGAAATTGAAAATGTGAATGTCTGGCTAATGGCACAGGAGGAGTACTGGAGATATAATACCAAATCTATAAAGGACAATTTCAGGCCCAAGACTCTGGAGAGTCAGCCGCTCAATCATGAAGTGATTCACTCAGATTGATCAAGGAGCGTTGTAATCACATGGGAATGTTACATGTGACTCCAATGAGGACTCACAGAACTGTCAAGAGATTCAAAGCTGGATTTAATGGATGTGAGGTGATGTGCTTTAGAAATCATTTCAGAAGGTGCAAATAGAATCCTCAAAGCATTATAGCAGCATTTAGCAGCTGTCTAGTGAAATTAATGTTCACAACAGTGGAATTTGGAGGAAAAGATTTACCATCACAGAAACAGGGCTGGAATTGACTATATATTCTCACACAGCAGTAATTCAAAGGACTAAGCTCTCTGAAAGAAGAAATGGAAATCTACTAATGAGCAGAGCTGCTGATAAGAGTCCCATATTAAGAAAAGAAAGCCTGAATGCACTTACAGATAACATTCCTTCTTTTATTGAAATGATTCTAGTTCAAACCCAGCGCTCCCTCAGAAATGGATATAAATGCTACAAATGTGACATTAAATATTCATTGCATCATCTGTCATCTAGCTCTTTCGTTTGGAAGATAAATGAACATCAAAAAAACAAAATCCTACACTATTACTGTGAAAAGTGAGAAGTCCATGGAGGTGGATTGTTCTTCATGTAGCGACTGTAACAAGAGATGCATGAGCTGCTATCTGGAGATGTAATTAGTCAGAGTTCCTTAACACAGACTGTAAGATGCAAGTGGGCACACTGCACTTTGACCTTCTATTATGTTCCCTATTTATGACTTCATCTAACATTTCCCCCTATTTCTAATAAAAATATTCTGAATAGACAATAAGAAAACAGATAACGAGTCCAGAGTGTACCCAGCTTCTCACACAATGACAGCTGCAGGCTCAAGCCCCCTTTGACCCCTAACAGGACAAGCTTTGGAGACAAAACATTGAAGATAACTGATAAACAGGACCATTTACAAAGACTAAGGGTAGTTTATGGAAAATCATGATGATAAATCAATGCTTTGAAAACTTTGGATTGAAGCTTAACCCATGGAGGTAAAACTTCAATCAAACAGAATTTTTGTTCTTTAAAGACAAACCAAGATGCAGCAACATTAATAAGTCTTGACATTTTCATTAAATCCCTCCAGGTTTTACACTTTGCTTCACAATCTGATATTGTAATTTGGTAACGCAATAACAGGGGACATGGTATCATTTTAAAATACTAAATAATTCATTATGATTTTCATTCAGCACACTTAAGGACTTTATAAGCCAGCTTTTGGAGAACAAGGAACTCTCCATGTCTGTGTGCAGTAAACTAATCACTCAGCTCTCTGTTATCAGTACCTAAATGTAACAAAAACATTACTTGCTAAGAAGTAGTCAGACATTTATGCAAAAGTAATGCCGAAACATATGACTGATGAACAGCCATAATAATTATTATTTGTCATTTAACACCTTTTAGTTCTGTCCTTCTGTTGAATGTCCCACAACCGGTGACTTGCTTTTGCGTTGCTTTATCAATGTCCCATTTATTTTTCCGTTTTTTGTGCTTTGTCAGTTCCTCTCCTTTTTTTTTCTGAAGCTGCCCAATGTTTCGGCCATAACCAAAAAATATAATGTCAAAAATAAAATTCTATAAAGAAATAAATGTCACTTACTTCCTTTAAGCTGGCTAATAAACTATCTGCGAAACTCTGATGTGCTTGTAGTAAATCACTTAGCTTGTTGAAAATCAGACCATGCTTTAAGAAATGAAGAAATGCTCTTACTGTGCGCTCTCATCGAGACTGATACATGACCACTTAAACTCGCCTTACAGTAGATTTATGTTCAAATTACCACTTTCATAGTTTAGCCTTTTATCATGCTAACATTTGCTAACAGAAAGTTTTGCTGAGGCTTTTAGGAACTGAATGTCTGGACAAAGTGTTTGTCAATGTGTCTGTTAAACTCAAAAGTATTTCACAGGATAAGTGAAGAAAAGGTCATCAGGAAAGGTCAGGTGATCACCTGCCATTACATGGACCAAGACTGACTAACAGACAGGTCGACACTGACAGTTATAGAGCTATGGCTTAATTATTGTAACAGACAAGACTTTCAGTTGGATAATATTTACATTTAAAGCTCCTAATTTTACTAACAAAGCAAATAAAGACCATCAGGAAGAAGATCAATTATTTCTGTATTGAAGGTTTAATCTCTGAAACTAATAAGGGGGCGGGGATCAGACAAGGTCATTTAAAAAACATAGCAGAAACAGTCTGTTTTTTACTTTACATTTGTTACATTTTTTCCAAATATTCACATTGGGTGACATGTTTGACAGATATAGTATATCAGGTTGAGATGTTTTTTTTCTTTAAAAATTAACATAACAATTAACATACACATTTACAGGTCCAAATCAGCAAATAGATGGGAGGTACTGCTTTGTCACTCGGGGTGAAAAAAACCAAACATTGCAAAAGTTCCTCACAGGTGCTTTAAGGTTTGATACATTTTGATCAAAGATACAACTCCAAAATCTTCACCCTAACAAATATTCTTTACATACCCTTGAAATTGCAAACCATTTAGATGAATGAGAGAGAGAGAGACAGAGAGAGAGAGAGAGAGACAGAGAGACAGAGAGAGAGAGAGAGAGAGAGAGAGAGAGAGAGAGAGAGAGAGAGAGAGAGAGAGAGAGAGAGAGAGAGAGAGAGAGAGAGAGAGAGAGAGAGCCCTGTTTTGTCTTTGGTTGGTTGATTCATTACTCAATTCTTGTTCTAACACTTCTGGAAGGTTTCAACTTTTTTTTTGTTGATCAGCGCTATGAGTTTCAGCCATTTTGTGTTACCTTCATTTCAAATGACAGAGCCGGTTGCTTTAAATGAATAAGGAATTTCATCACCTTCTGTAATATGAGCACATCTTGTCTCAAGGCGGCAGTGTGCATTGTCCAGAAAAGGACAGAAGCCTAATTACTTAGTAACTACGTTTGGGAGACTAGGCTAATCTCTTAGGGGTTTCTTCAACAGATGTGTCCAATTAATGGCCTCTCTTTGAAGAAGTTTAGATGCCCACTACACTGGGAATTTTATTTCAGAGGAAATTGCTCGCCTTATTTCTGATGAGTAGACTCTAAAGTCAGCCTTAATCACAGCTTTCATTATTTTTCTCTCCTTCTGATCTTAAATATCTGCACATTTTTTTACTGCTCTAAAGCCAGTTATTAATGTTAATGACCTGGAGAGAACAGATAGGGCTAATAGATAACATCCATGGTCAGAGTCATTCATTCACTGATGTTAGACAGCAGGAAAGCTGCCTGGGCAATTTCACATGAGGGATTATTATCTTGTTAAATTAAAGAAGGAGAGGGCACAGCAGTCATTTCTCAACATAGAAGAAAACTGAGGGTGGAGAACCTGACACATTAAAATGAGCCCTTTGTATTATGAGTGAGGATTGGTGGATAGGAGGGACATCCTATAATATCATTCTCTACTTGTATGCAGAAGCACTAGTCCTGTTTTCCTTGAATGTAGGAGTGTTGTTTGAGAGGACCCTTACAGTCATTGAAGCTGAGGAGTTAAGGCTGTTCAGAAACGCTTAATAGATCTGTGCCACTGCACCCCTGCTGCTCTGCAGAAGCCTGTCACCTAGCATGTACATGCATTTAGGCTTATTTACCTCGATCCTGCCGGCTGGCTGACAGGCACGTCTCTCTGCTGGAGATGCAACAACGTTGTCTGGCAACCCCTTTTTCAGAGAGTGTTGTGAAATGGACAGCACATTACAAAGAGTGACAACCGGAGTGATGTGCAACAAATTCAAAAAAAACATATCAGGAAAAAGAAAAACCCATCATCTTTTCATTTCTCATATTATGCCCTCCAGGGCTCATAACATGGACTTCAATTATTCAAAATCATCTTGACCCACAGTAGGAGCACAATGACTCTGCCAGATACATGCACTCATTACTCTTCTTCAAATCAAACATAAGATACCTAAGTATTTTTACCTTTAGTTGCATTAATGGAGTTAAAACCTCAGGGTTAGCTATTTCTTTCTCACTTCCAACCTCTCTTGTTGATATTGTGATGCTTACAGCCATTGAAAAATGAAACTGCTGCATTAGTAAACATCTAAATATCATCCTGACAACTCATTAAATATTAACCCGCTGTTTTTCGCACAAACAGTTTTGTACTGAAACTTTAAAAGAGAGAAAGCCTTGTCCAAGTTTGTAGCTTTCAAACCTACCATCCCCTCTCAATATCATTTTCTGCCTCAAATCGTGAATATTTAATTTAATTGGAAGTCAGTGAATAGGAAACCCCCAATTTTTCCAGCAAAGACTTAACATGTAGACCTACAACTGAAAAGTTGCATTTGATCATTTACAGAGCACAGATTGGCATTTATTTGAAACATGAACATACAGTACCAAGAAAAATACAAAAATGCACTTTCAAAGGAAAACACATTTCAACATCCAAAGATAAAAAAAATCAGAAAACAGTTGATTCCTCTTAAATTTCCATGTTTTTTCTCATTGTTTTTGCAGTATCTTCTAACACAGTTCATTCTTACCCATTATCCCTGAATGGATTGCACATGATCGAGTCTACACTTTGGTGTTAGAGGGACAGGTGTCATGATTTGTGAGATGGCACCAGACGTTTGAGACACAGAGGTGTACACCTCCAAAGACAGCTGTGTGTGTTCTATACATTCTGTTGTTCAATTGAACTCTTGTCCAATACATTGCCTATTAAAATACAGAGGTTATAAAAAATACTTTTTACTAGTTCAGCAATAATGACTCCTATATTTGTATATGTTCATAAATAATTCAATACATAGATAAATAGATATTCTGTGTGTGGATTATAAACTTTCAAAAAAGTATTTTTTTCTGTAATACAGGAGTGACTACAAATACTGAAATGCTCAAGGGTAGTTGTCAACCCTGAAGTCCGTTAGAATTGGTGAAAGGCCAGAGAGTTTACATGCAGATTGGCGCTGGTGTTGTGTGCCAATGTCCCCTCTCGCCTTGCCAGTCTCTAGCTCCGCTGGCACTCGTTCTTACTGCAGGTGGCCTGACGCTCGATCTGCCATGTGCCCTCCTCGTATGTGCAGTAGCAGATTGTACACTCGTCAATCTTCACCTCTCGACCAGCCGGTATCACTGCTGTGTCCGCATAGCAATTTGGTCCTGTAGGTGGTACGACAGAAAAAAGGAAATGTAGAGCAAATAGAAAATAGGTCCTTTAATACTTTTGAAAATGGCCACTCATATTTGTCTTCTCTTTTTTTTTTTTTTCATAGACTTATTTTGGGCTTTTTGTGCCTTTAATGGAGCATTGGGCAGTGGATCAATCAATCAATTTTTATTTGTATAGCATCAACTCACAACAAGAGTCGGAAATCAGGGAGAGAGAGAGAGAGTGGGGAATGACCTGCGGGAAAGGAGCCACAGGCCGGACCCGAACCTGGACCGCCCGCCTGGAAGACCACATCCTCCACACATGGGGATCACGCTCCAACCACTGCGCCACCAGCACCACATATTTGTCTTCTATGTTTTAAGGTGCATTTTTTTAATTCTCTGCGCCATGTTTCATTATTTGGCAGAATGAGCCCTTACAGTACATGATTTGCTCTGCTCCTGTGTTTGTATACAGTGCTATAAATGTAGTTTGGTCAACATAATGAACAGAAACCTATTAAGTTCAGTAAATGTTTCACTGATAAAAATCAGAGTTGATCTACACAGTCAGAAAAAAAAAAGTATCCTTGACTTGGTGTTGGAGTCAAAAGAATAATATCACCGAGGTCACACTCGTCTGTGATTTTTTAGTGCTTCAAGGCCCACCAAGGATCGTTCAATATGCAAAAATGTCTTTTAAGGACTGGGCACACAACTGAAAGTAACCTTTCTTTTGTGCTGGTCAAAGGATCCCATTCAGTTTGAAATTCTCTGCATTCACGGACACCCTGGATGCAGGTGATATATGGAATAATCAGGCAGTGACGATTATCCAAAACTACATTTTGTCACCAAAGGTTGACCCTGACTTATTTAAGAGTTTATTTCACCCAGATTAACAGCTTAAGCACACTCCTTTAATGACCTTTGTCACAACCAACATGTTGAATCTTCAAATGCCTGTTCTACAATTCTACAATTCACTTATCATACGCTTTTATCCAAAGCGACATACATCAGAGAGTAAGTACAACACAAGCAAGGATCTAGAAAAAAGGGAACAATGTCAGTAAGAGCAAATGATCAGCTTTGAGTCCGATTGGACACACAGGTGCTGACAGGCATTGCACAGAGGCAAAGCACAACATTGACTGCAGTTCTTGAGAGCTCTAATCAGTATAGAAACCATCTTATAAGTCGTCGTTATCAAACAAAAACCATCGTCATTACCATCATCATCATCAATAATATGGAGACCATCATCATTAAGTTAGTAGGTATTCATGAAAGAGCTGGGTCTTTAGCTTTTTCTTAAGGGTGCAGAGGGACTCTGCAGATCGAATGGAGTTTGTTAGTTCATTCCACCACCGGGGGGCGACAGAGGAGAAGAGTCTAGTCAGAGACTTAGGACCCTGTTGTGAAGGTTTGATCAGACGCCTTTCATTGGCAGAGCGTAGTGGGCGGGAGGGAGTGTAGATCTGTTCCCAGATAGTTACTTCAATAGTATTGATTTACCATCCATTAGGGCAATAACAGGAAGAAACCTACCAAATAGCCTCAGATACTTAGCTCCATCTATATCTAACGAGACACAAGAGTTCGATTTCTACATTTTTTAATTGGCCAAACCTGCATGCTCTAAATCGTCAGTTAATGGCCTTGTTTTATAGCAATGAAACTGAGCACAGAGACATATTGACAGAGGACCTTTTGAAGCCTTCATTTTGTAGTTTATATTCCTTTTTCCATAAAAAGCTGACAGATGTCGTACTACCCTATTTATCCACTATTGCTCTTAGTAATATCTGAGTACCTCATCATTTCAACAAAAACGACTTGTTGGGGGGGTCGGGTTGGGGGTTTGGGGTTGGTTTGGGGGTATTGGAGTGTTTTATAAGACTGAAGCTGAAGTAGGTCGATGCTCTGACAGAGTGATTGAATTTTATTACCTCATTCAGATGTTCATATAAGTTCGATATAAGAGCATACAGAGTGTATAAAAGAGAATGGAGCAGAATCACCCTGTCATATATTGCAGCTTTCTGCAAAGACTAATGAAAGAAAACCCTCCATGAGAAAATACATTGTGGAATGAAGGCCAATGGGACACTAGTTTGAAAGTAGGACAGGACTTCACTTATTGTTTTCCTTTCTACTTTTAGACGCCATATCAGTTGCAATAACCAGATTTCCACATGGAGTTCACTGCAGTTAGTCATCTTGTTTCTTTAAGATAGCTCCATGACATCCCAGCATACTTTAATGCAGTAAGAAAAAAATGAACACTAGAGACTCAATGTGCTGGCCTTCTTTTCATTTGTCTGAGTGGAAAATGGGTTCTCACATCTGGACTTTTATTTATTATGTCCTAAAATAGTGTTGCAAGAGGCACAGAAAATGGAAACACAACGATTGATTCTCTTTGGCGACAGTGGCCATCGCTGACAGAATAACACTCTGGATAAAAAGCCCAACCTGATCCCATTTAAAATGTTCAACATCATCCCTGGGGTGACTTACAAGTGGTTCCTGATATTCCTTCACATCTGCAATGATTCATCAATTGGCCTTGAATCTGCAGCTAATAACAGTTATATATTGGTCATCATTACCATGTTCTTCACATCACTGAGTGACCTCTTGTTATTAGATGTTGAGGAGAATTTCATTCATTTCCAATCCGGACAGATGAATCCTGGGATTTCAGATTACACTGTATTCTTAAGGAGCTGACCAGTACCATTATTTATTTGACTCTCTAGTTCTGGGACTCACAAATGTAAACCAGTTATATTTCTTAGGAACTTTTGACACTCCTTAGATTGTCTACACTGCAAGAAAAGTATAGATGTAGTGGATTGCGGCCTTCCTGTCAGATTTTACTTCATTAGTGAAATGCACACAGCGGGAATTGTGCACAAAATTGTGCATAAAAATCAAAAGTTTGAATATAGTTATCTTTCCCAGGACTCTTTGTTTATAATTTTGAAGCAAACTGAATTTCACAAATAAAAATTTACTAATCAAGTCCTACCATCTATCACCCAACAATTTATGTACAGAAAATCTTCTAGACAAGCCTACAACATCAAAAAAGTGTTCCTCTTTGTGTCACCTACCCGACTTTAGTACAATGATGTGAAGGCTTTTGTCTGATGAAAGTGCCTCTGTCCTACACTAGTGGCTCATAAATCATCCATTATCTCCAAAGCCGCACAGCAAAATATAAACACTGCAGAAATTGCTTCCACTGCATCAGGTATAGCATAACAATGGCTATTCTCCTTTAAACTAACAAGGTCTTGAGACGCTTTGTTGTATAATTAAGATACTGATAAATAGGGAGTCTTCCAGCTGCAGCTACCTCATTTCATTGGATGTCTGCATCCAGGAGGAACGTGTTGGCACATCAATCAATGTGAACAGTTTGCAGAGGCCTGTCAAAATGTCAACCCTAACACATTTATAAGTCTTCAGATGAACACGCACACAGCCTATCTGAATAACAACTCATCCTGTGGCCCAGACTGCTGTCGCTTCTTATTCATCATCATTAGCAGCATTTAGAACACAGCAACTCACACAAAAGACGTATATGTCAAGGATATCTTTGGAGAGAAAAAATGCACAAAATAATCATGCACTTAACAAAATAAATGGGAAGTACTTCCCCTAGGGCTGGGATTAAACCTCAACATGTCAGCCAGTCATTGCAGCTGCCGTGACACTCATTTGAGTTAATTAATGCATGGACTCGGCACCAGCGTGCTTACTCATTGCCGTTGCCTTATCATTCTGCCATTCATATAACACCCACCTTTTTGTCATTGCTTTATTAACACAACATAACCCCATATCGCCATCACTCTCTGTTTTTGTCTACCTTTCATTCTCTGTGGCTGGAAGATATTTTTATAGGCACATCAGGCCACCCAGGAGCTTTTCAATGACACCCAAAGAGGCACAGACAAATGGACTGTGCATGTGCATGAACAGTTGGACCAAAACTGTCACCACAGCGTGCTTGAAGGTGGCATAGACAGTATGTGAAAAAGATAGCCATTAGCACCTGTGGCTTTTGGCTCTGAAGCAGAGTCTGAAAATGGACAGGAAAATGTGGATGCATCCAGATCACAACACCGCTTAATTCTGAAATCTTAGAAACCTGCAGAGCTCCATTATGGGGTAATGGAAATGGAAGAATAGCAGGAATCACTCAACTTAATGCATTTCTTGAGTACATTTGCATTATAAATGCAGAATAAAAACGACCTTGCTTTGTAAAGACTGAAAGTGGAGGAAGTTTGCACAGAGATATGATTTAGTAACAACATAAATTATTTCTTAAAGAGGTGCTGTGTGAAACGGATTTGGACTTGCCTCACATTACAGCTGCAGACAGTTCTTTTTATAGTTATTTACATTTCCTTAGAGCCAACTCATATGAATTTTTATTTTGCATATGGTGTCTCCGGCAACTGTACCAACTGATAATCTCTGAGGCTGAAAAACCCAGCTGCACCCAAGAAGCACGACTGTCACTACAAATGTCCTTCACAGACATGGCACCACATCTACGAGTGTAGATAAAAGTTCTGATGTCTGTCTAGTAGACCTTTTCACTCAGTTTTTTGATTTCTGCATTAGGAAATATTCATTTGCTAGTTACACTCACAATGGCTTTTGCTCAGAAGAAAACAGAAAATCACATGTAGCGATCTGACCACTTAGTGACCCAGCAAGACTCTAATTGTTAAGACATAAGGTGACCAACAATTACCTTCATTATAGTGCACTTTCTCTTTTGTTATCAAAACTCCTAAGTCCAGTAATGGAAATGGCCTTCAGATAGTAAAATATAGGACCAAATTAAATCAAGGGAGAAAATTAAAGGGGAAAATAATTTTAACCTTTTGTGAATATATGTCATAATGAAAAATGTCCTTCTTTTCACTGACCAATTATCCACAAATTAAATCATTGCAGACTTATTATTGTTGATAACA